AGGCGATATCCAACAATGAATTGCTACGGGATTTTGATCACAATTATAACGAACAGTGTGACATTTACAGTTTTAGAAATTTTAGATATAATCTTACTGATTTTATATAACATTGAAGTGTTAAACGAACTTACAATCCACCTGATAATAATTGGCCGATCGTGGGTTGGAATCCGCTATTTGACTAATGTCGTGAACCAGTCCTACCACAACCATTTTAAGCTCACCACGAGCGGTTAACGAGAATATTAGTAATGTGAACAGGGTTGTTAGTATGTTTTTTAAGGTAAAAATGCGACTACAACTCGCGGATACCTACAGCCAACTACAAACAAAGAAGGTTACAGATGCGTTATCACCTCTGGTACCTCGAGGACTTAGATGACAAGGCATACAGCCTTTTATACAGGCTCTCTATTACCTCCAGATCGGAACACATCAGTGTAGCCAGTGCTGTGATCCGGTGGAAGGGGTTGCGCTACTATTAACTTTTTCATATAATAACATCGATCTATAATAAAAAAAAAACAAAACAAAACTAGATACACCCAATCCCATGCAAAAGTTCTCTAAAAACCGTCACCATTTATTTTGAAGTAATTCTAGTTGAAATGAATATACGTCAATGTAAATTCAACCTTAAATGCTTTGCTTAAGGTTGTATTCACAAAACTACGTACAAATTAAAAGCGCACCCAAATGTTCGAGTGGACGCTCATTCGGTAAGGACATTTTTTGTCACTGATAGTGTATCTAGCTTTTTATTAGAGTCAATGCATAGTAGTAATAAATTTATATTACAATAACTTCATTTGTTGAATCTAGATCATTATTGACAATGATATTGACACACGTTATTGTTTCACTCTAATTTTTAGTTATTTTACTAAGCCGACCGGTTTCGTCAGACATATTTAGGGTACATCAATTACAAGAACAGCTTCTGTTCTTGTACTGAATTAATCTATTAAGTTGTGACGTATATCTGTAAACGGTGCTTTTCGAGAAATACCTAAGTTTTACTTATTGAAATAGTTTTGTTGCTGGTTACATACAAGCTAAGTAGGGAAAAATGAAAATCAATTTAATTATTTCTGTATTAAATTTATTGCATCTATTCACACACCTTCCAGGAGAACGGTTAAAAGACGTTTGAAGCCAACAAATATAATAATTGAAACATAGGCGTTAATTATACTAACGTCAAAGGAAGGATTGAAATATCTAAGGATTGAATCCGTTAGCAAATAAAATGATGAAAAAAAAATGACATCTATTAGTGAATGTAAAGTTTAAAAATTAATACCTTTTCTATCAGTAATCATTATATCTAACACACAGTGCTAATTTTTTTAGTCCGATCAAATTAAGGAATCATCACACAAATCCACTTGGACATCTCGGATGTTGGTGAATTTATTCGTTGTTTACATAACTAATACGGAGATCAACGTCTTCCATCCGTTTTTTTTTTATATTTACATTAAAGTGTTTCTCTAATACAGAAAATTATTGCGTTTACTTCTCTTAAATATTATTCGTTATTATTACAGTATTTACTTACAACAGTGAAGTATGTATGTACAAAACTATAGACTCAATTTTGGACTTTCAGTCTCTACAATATGGGGAATAATATTTTACATTGACTTCAAAACGAATCCAGTTTAATAACTATACATACAAATATTTATTACAACTATACAAGGCCATAATATAACAAATTTAGTAAGAAAAAACAGTTCATATACAGAAGAATATTATAAAGGGGCTGACGGCCTGATTTATGAATAATGCCCTACTTAAATAATGCAGATTCTCCATTGCCGTGACGTGTTGTTTATGTTTTAATAATAATGTGTTATGTTTTAAACTCTAATAACTTAATTTTCATTACCAACTTATTTTGTCTATATTACGAAATGAGATCAGCCAAGAGTTAAATAAAATAGAGCCGAATTAAAAATTCGCCAAAAACTAAGAATAGGACAATGCTAACAAAAATATTTTATATTGATGATTAATTTTTGATTTGATACGTTTAAAATATTACGTCAATATAGCTTGCTCTGTAGTGCGACGTAAGAGATTTCCATGACCGTATTTAGTCTCGAAAGTCTCGTAAATGGCTTCTATAGGGAGAGACCAGAAATACCCCATGGCCTCTGATTAGATGGTGGAATAACTAGCGCATAAATACGCCAAATGTAAATAATGGGCGCAATGTCTGCTTTGCTGATGCTGATGTAATGGAAGAGGCGCAAGTCCAGCAGTGTATTGTAACAGACTCAAAAGAATCCTTATGTTGCGTTACTCTCATTTATAGTAATACATATAATTCCCAGACTATATGGGTATATATGTATTTAATAATTAATAAAACAAATACTTTATGTGTTTCATTTAGAATATAATATGTATGTATAATTTTACAAAGCTTTTTAAAATTTTATTGCCATTACTGTTTCAGTTACAATTCTCGAGCATTAATTCCTAATAATGTGTATGATTTCACGGCTATCGAGGCTACATGAACAATCTTAATGAGTTTTTTTTTAACATTTGTCATACTATACGCTGAAAGAAAAAGTACTAATTTAGTAAAGAATTCTGCTTAATTATGTCTAATTATGTTGAAATTTTATCGCATAAAATAGTAATTATTAGAGCTGCTAATTAGTCGACGTTACGTATTCTTATTTTACTTGTATATTCTTTCACCCTTTTAAATAAATAATTCGTCCATTGTTTTTTTTTTACAGTTTTATCATATGTGAGGTCAACAGTAATTTTATGTAGGTTAATTTATAGTAAGCAAATGAATTTTGTATTTTCTTAAACTTTAATTTTCGTTGAAAAAAAAAACAAATAATGTAACACTGCCATTTTAGTGAATTACTATTCTCTAAAATTATTTGTTTTTATTTTTTGTCTTGTTTTAGTGTATAGTATTATTTTGAATACAAAAACAAATATCGTGGAGATTTTTAAAGTAATTGTATTTTAAATTATCACATTTTTTAAATAATTGATTACATAACTTTACTTAATTCAAATATTTTAGTATTCGTCTTGTTTTATTCTTAATCAAAACGAGCTTTGATATTTCCTTATTATTTTCTGCACACTGTAATAGTTTTTAACATAAGAAAGTTTGTTTTTGTAGATAATATTCAAATAACTCGAAGTATGGGTTTTTTATTTTTATTTTTACATCACTTCGAGAACAGCGTGTTATTTAGCAAATAACGGCAAATAATATATTAAGGAACATCACCAAGAAATAATAATACCTTCATACGTAGAAATAAAGAAAAAATATCGCTTAGTATAAATATATCACTTAAATAAATAAAACAATTAGATCTCTAAGATAATTTAAGAAATAGAGCCATTACTAATATTTAGAAGCACATCTAACTGGATTTAGGAATTTTAATAGGAAAAGAGTTAACTGTGTTCCATTGTTTGATAAATTTAATGTGTTACGCTATGTTCTTGTGTATTTGAAATGTAAGATTAGTGCTAAATTTAGGATTGATATAAAAGTCAATTTAAAACAAATAAGTTAGTAATAAACTTATTTAACAGGTATGGGTAAGGTTACGAGGTAAGGTACGAGTGAACGCAGGAAATAGAGTGAACGGGGCTCTACGCGCTATTATGAAGAGTCAGAACGTGACAAAGAAGGTACGTATGACAATTCATAATGCTGTGTTAGTCACTACTTTAATGTATGCTAGTGAAAATTGGGTCTGGCAGAAGAAGCATGAGAGTAGAATATGTGCTGTAGAAATGCGGTCATTAAGGAGTATGCTAGGGCTGAATCTGAATGACAGGGTTTGAAATAGTGTGATAAGAGAAAAGTGTGGTTTGCAAGATGACGTTGTAACCAGGATTAAAAAAGGAATGCTTCGGTGGTTTGGTCATGTAGAAAGAATGAAGTAGGAAAGAGTGACAAAGCAAATTTATGTTTCAGAAGTGAACGGCAGAGTCGGGAAGGGACGCTCTAGACGAATATTTATCGACCAAATCGGCGATACAACGAAAATGGGCCAGATTAGGAGTACCCTTAACCGACGAGCGTGTATGCGTAGATATATGGATGTAAAGGAGGCGAGAGAGGTGTGTCAGGATCGCGTAAAATGGAAGTCAGTAGTCTCTGCCTACCCCTCTGGGTGACAGGTGAAAGTGTTTGTGTGTGGGTAAGGTTATAAAAGTGACAGATGTATTGATGGCCGTCTGAAAACCCTAACAAATTGCTTATTAAATACGCAAGTAGTACATACTTTTAAAAAGTGCCACTTTTTAATATAGTGTTTACATAGACAATAATAGTCCTGTGACTAGAAATGAATCAAACAGATATCTCTCAACGTTAAAAAGTATCTGGTGAGTAGCGATATTTCATAACATAAAACATAAAATATTTGTTATTGTTACTGACCTCGTATTAATAAATATAAAATGCGAAAATTAGACATCTTTATAAAACAAAAGAAGAAGAAAAAAACTGGACGTAATTAGGCGCTAAATATAAAAGAGAACATTTCCAAAATAATTTACACTATTTATTGACAATTATTACCAAATAAGTCTAGAACGGAGACGTTCATCTATAAGAAACGTAACACATATTAATAACTATATTTCACTTCGTTGAACCACTTCCAATAATAACTACAGCAACATATCGCAAGGTCCAACTTGTAGTAGCACCTAATATTGTCGGTCAGTCAGCGCAGTGCAGCGCCAACGTCGGTTGCGAGTTGTCAACCTCACGCAGCAGGCGGTGCGCCGCGCCGGTGCGCCGCCTGCTTGTGTCCACTATCACAAATCTAAGCTTCTCTACCGGTGCATAAATTAATTATTATCACGTATATATACGTATGTATACATATTTATATATCATTATTTACAGACGAGAAGGCCCTCGTGGCACTTTGCGGCCGAGATCGTGGTTATTGTCGGTGCGCCAGCGGCGGGCGTGGGGCTGGCGGTCAGGCGCGGGACGGAGGCGGCGGCTCGGCCAGCGAGGAGGTCGAGGATGAGGACGGGGAGGGGGCAGGGGGCGCAGGCGCCGGAGCCGCCAGGGCCAGTGACCGCGAGTACTCCAGGAGAGCCACATCCGCAGGATGAGTGGGAGGATACAGGCCTCTGTATAATTCAGGCCTGCCGTAAGGATGCGCAAGGCGAGCGGCGGCCGCTGCAGCTGCCGATTGATAGAACGCAGACGCTGACGGTGGTGGTGTCGGCGCCTCCCCTTCCTTACTCGCCATATCAGCTAGGGACCAAATTCTTGGTTTCGCCGAAGCTGGTGTGCTACCAGGTGGTGCTCGGGAAGGCAGATGTTGGTATGCCGGGTGTATCGGCCTTTCATAAGGCTCCGGTGACTCTGGTCCACTATCGGCACGTGATTCTGACCATTCTGATTCAGTTCTTTGTCCCAATAAATCCAACCTTTGTTGGGGCCTGTCTCCGTCCTCGCTTGAACCCGTACCCGAATCTTTACCATCTAAAATAAAGTGATATTTGTCAAAATTATGGTCGAAAATTTATAACAATATGGGATAATATTTTAATTGATTTACTAGTATGGCCACAAGTTCTGATTTTTTTATTTTTCACCGATTTTTGTTCCTCATTTATTTTCACATGTTATTTTACACTAATTGTTATATGACATTATTGAGTATGGTGTTGAAGAAGTCAGAATTGCAGTGATCGCTTTGCACAATGTGGGTTGGAGCCGACAACCATTTTAAGACGCCTCGAAATCTAGGCATTTAACATAATATGAAATTTCGGGTGTAAATAACACCAAAAATTCGTCAATTGAATATCATAAAACATCGGGGTGACTCCGTGCTATGTTTGATATGAAATAAAGATATAATTTTTATTAATTAATCAATAACACCTGAAGCTTTTGGGTTCTATTTTTTTATAAGAGAGGTGACAAAAGAGCATACGGCTCACCTGATGGTAAGTGACTACCGCCCATGAACTACTGCAACACCAGGAAAATTGCAGGTGCGTTGCCGGCTTTTTAGAAAGAAGTAAGCTCTTTTCTAGAAGGTACCTAAGTCGTATTGGTCCGGAAAAATCGCCGGTGGTAAGCTATTCTACAGAGAGGTCATACGAGGAAGAAAACTGCTCGTAAAACGTACAGTGGTGGACCGCCAAGCATCCAGATGGTGTGGATGGTATCTCAAGTTTTAAGTAAAATTTGGCGGCTGGGATTAATCCGAACAATTCTTCAGAGCACTCCCCGTGACAGATGCGAAAGTGATGCATCTCTTACGCAGCGTCAGTGACTCGAGCCGATCGGAGAGGACTTGGTCGTTGACGATTCGAGCCGCACTACTGGATGCGGTTAAGTGGAAAGAGCTGGCACTGGGGAGCTCCAGCCCAGAGATGGAAACAGTATTCCATGTGAGGCCGAATCTGCACTTTTTAAAGTAGCAGGCGGTGTGCCGGCATGAAATACTGTTCCACTCAGCTGAGCACTCCAAGTTTTTTTGAAGCTAATTTGGCCTGCTCTTCCAAGTGACCACAAAACTGCACATCATTTGATATGTCGACGCCGAGGATTCCGATACTGGCTGAGACAACAAGAAGAGTGCCTTGAAACTGAGGAGATACAACAAAGGGGTTCTTTTAAGCGGTAAACGTGCAAACTTGTGTCCCCTGGTGATTAATCTGGACTAGATTTAGTCGCCCCTAATCCGAAACTTTGTTCAGCAAAGACTCGACTTCAGACATAACTTCGTTCAGGTAATCGGCGACGTTTTCCCGAGGAAAATTGTGCCAGTCATCCGCATAGCAATAAATGTTACCGGTTTGCAAAATGTAATTGATATGCAGAAGAAACAGCGTTGGTGATAGCACGCAGCCTTTTGGAACAACAGCAATAATGGGCTCGTAATCGGAGCATGCACCATCGACTATGACCTTGTTGCTCCGATCTGCAAGAAAGCTGGTTATCCTATTGCACAATTTCTCGGGAAGCCCATAGGAAGAGAGCTTCGAAAGAAGCGTTTTGTACCAAATCCGATCTACAATGTCCAAACTAACGGCCAAAGTCTCCCGATTGGACTCTGCTACCTCCGTCTATCTATGAGTCAGGTAGACCTCTTAGAGAGAGTCTTAATACGCTGGAGGTACACACAGAAATATGCTTTTTACTCGTGAAAAAAAATTGAAGTGCAATACATCAAGCAAACTGGAAAGCTGCTCACAGCTTTAAAAAAACCACGTAACTTGTTGGAAAAAAATAACCTGTCAATTATGGTTAAATTTAATAATTAGTTTAATTTAAATATTAATTATGGTTTTATATTAAATGAAACCATATGAAATTTATGATTAAAAAAATATATATTTTCCCAGACTATCAAAGCCAAAGTTTCGCTTGAATCCGATAAAAATCTACACATATTAAGTTTTATTAACAGTAAATTGTTTCTTTAAAAAATATGTACTTCAATATTTGACAGATCTTGTAGGCACACTAGGTATTTTTTTTTAATATTTAGAACGTAGCCGACTCAAAATATTTATTTTTTTATACGTACCAAGTGCGTCTTTTCCGTCATTGCTTTTATGATCGTCATCGTCATTGTTATTGTCGTCGTCATCGACTCGGTTCCTCGGCTCCCATGTCATCTTATTCTCCTTTTTCAGACGGCGACGCGCATTTGCGAACCAAGTGGAAACTTGCGTCAGAGTCATCTTTGTTATTATTGCTAGCATTATCTTCTCGCCTTTCGTCGGGTAAGGATTCTTTTTGTGCTCGTTAAGCCAAGCCTTGAGTGTACTGGTCGTTTCACGTGTTGCATTTTTTCTTCTCGCTCCGTTAAGGTCCATGCCATATCTGTTAAAACAATAAATGATTACATACGTTGAAAGTCGATTCACCTGTATTAAAACATCATTTAAACTTAGAAAAACATTTGAAATAGTATTGAGTTTTATTAATGGTTTTGTTTGATTTTCACCATCAAAATTTTTATGACGTCAAATTTAAGAAAAATTAATTCGATAATTATTAACAAACATTTCTACAAGCGTAATTTATTGTAATTGTACTAGTTATTTTATCACTATCCGTCATCATTTACGGTAAGCAAAACAAAGCGTAAATGTAAAGTGTGATTTGGGAGAGATTTTTCAGATAAGGGAATCGTGACCGACCCATTCCCTGACGCTCTCCCCCCCGCTAGTGTGATCGTCGAGCCAATGAAAGCGGCAGCATAATAATTGAAATCGAGATAAAGCATCCGTTGCTGCGCCAGCGTTAAGCTGTAGCTTATCTCAGACAGAGCTATGCGCATTTGTTGGCGGACCACGCACCGTTATTCCAATTGTCCTATCTTTATTACGATGCAGCCCCCGTATCGCAATTCTATTAAGCTTGATACGCGTTAGGGCGATTGTAATTATTACATCGCTCTTTATTTAAGAGCTGTATTGATGCGAAGCGCTTCCACTTTCATAGAAATTATTACAAAATACATACTTTAAGCGTATATAAATATTTTTTCAATATAAAAATAGTGTTTTTATAGAATAAGTGTTACAAACGAGCGCATAGGTCACCTAATGACACCTAAGTGGATTCTGTAGCCCACAGACATCTACATTTATCCTCGATTAAGAATCTAAATGCAGATGTGTGGTCACCCTAGAGAACTTTGAGCTAATGCCTCCAATGAAAAAGGTTCTCTACACTATCCATACAAGACGCAACAGCAGTAAGCTGTTGTATTTCGCTGGTATTCAGTAAGAGCGTTGTTCTTCCCTGGTCCAGTCGATCAATTGGTGCTACAACCATAATACAGTTGCAGCATGGCTCTACCAAGTATAAAATATATAATATGCATACAATATTATATACATTTAAAGTTCTATGTAGTTACTAGATAGTATATAATACACGCAATGTTTAACAACAAAAACTAACACTACGTACATCCCGACTTAGCGATATAGTGTCAACAATGCCGGCTTATATTTTTCTTAAATTCAGATACCTTATAGTTACAGACACCAATAGCTTGTGTTTATTATCTGAAGCGGCAACGGACCAGCCATATAGCTCGAAGAACCTACAAGCGATTATTTGTATATCTTTTTGGTATGATATAGTTATGTATATCATAAACATTGCAAATTTTTGTTGTAGTTGATCTCTCCTGTAGTTAATATAAAAATGATGTATCAACATAATATGTAGGATAACAATCTGGCACAAAATTGTTGTATATGTTATAATATTATAAAAATATATATATATATATATATATATATATATATATATATACATATATTTTTTTTAAATGTATTTTCATTGTTATCTGTTTTGTTGTCTGTATAATAATAGTAAAGGAAGTGTATGGCGGCCCGCCACAAGATGTAGTGACGACCTCGTAAGAGATGCAGGAAGTCGATGGATGCAGTGTGGCATTCCTTGGTCGAGGCCTATGTTGAGCAGTGAATTTGCTGTAAGGCTGTAATGATGACAATGATGATTTCTTAAGTTTGTGTCTATTTTAGTAACTAAATTGTTATTAAAATGAGGCCGGAATATCAGAGCTACTTGTTTCAATTTTTAAAAACTTTTCCGCTACAGGCTGCGGCGCGAACACTGCCGACTCCATATGCCGCCAGTGCCAAACTGTTAGTAACTGAGAGGGTGGAAAATGGGGATGAGTAGTATAGGAAATTAATAAAACTGTCACTTAAATCGCAGAAGTGACGGGCAGATCCCCTTATCTTCTCCCGATTCATTCGATATTATGTCTTAGGTATAGAACAGAAAGGTTAATTTTTAAGCTGACACGTAAATAAAATGAACTCGGTCCTATTGTTGAGTCCGTTGTTTACTTAATTCCTCTCGCCCTCAACCGAATGAGATCCTCGTAAATAAATATGAAGTAAAATTCGTTTTATATTGTTGTTAGTTAGAGAATAGTCAAATATAATTCATTTGCCATGCCGTTTTCAACAATTTAGATAACCGTTTTACGACGTGGAGCTCTTATATGAATAGTTGCTTATAAAACATCGCTTAATGCGACATAAATTTAATGACGTTCTCAACCGTGTAAGCGCCATGAATGAACTAACATCCAATAGAATTCAAGTGACAATGCGAAAGTGGAGCGACGCCAGGCTTAGGCGTATTCCGCAAACAAAAAAAAGCTTCATTTATCCACGGCGTGCCACTTTCACGGCATTCGAGCTCGCGGGGATGGCTGCGCGGCTTCATTTTTTTATTATTTTGCAACCCCGGGCCCGCACCCCTAGGGGAGCTGTGGCTTCCCTCCCTCTGATGCCTCCTCGCCTTCAATTAAATCCCTATCTCGCCCGCCACCTCATGCTTCCTACTTAAACTCATAAAAATGAGATAAACACAAAAATATTGCTCGTAGGCGACAGTTTTTATTAAAGTTAACAATGCTGTTTTGCTTAATTGGGCCGGGGTGTTTATGAATAATCATTTCGTCAGGTTCTTGTGATTTTTAAATATGATCCCATTTTATCATATTACTAATTTCTTTTTATAGTTTTTAAGAAAGTGGTGCCAAATAAACATAACTGGCGAATAAGTAGCGATTTTTTTTTTAGAATAAAGGTGACAAACACGCACACAGTCCATCTGATGGTAAGTGGATGCTGTTGCCCACAGAAATCTACATCTATCCTTCCATTAGAATCAAAATAGAGATACGTTGTCACGCCTCTTAGTCCTAGCTAACATGGAATACCTCATCTCCAGAGAAAAACGGAACGAGGAAGGAATTTCTCAAGCTGTCCGTGGTCCTTCTCTAGTCGAGCCGAACAATTCGTGCAACAACCATAATATAGCTGCAGCGTGGCTCTAGCACGTCTAGGCCCTATATTTATGTTTACGACTATGTTTGAAATTGACAATAGAAACGTAAAAAAATAAATTTACCTTTTATTTTATTTGTAATACATATCATTCATAAATTTTAGCTTTCTGCACTTCTATGTGCATAAACTTTCTATGCCAAATCTCACAGTCCTCTGTGCGCGCAATATGCTTAAAAAAGGGTACAAAGTTTTCTCCACACGTATTAATATACATATAATATTAGATTTTTTTCACTTATAAACAATAATAATAAAACTTTGATTCATATGTAAAAAAAAACTTGAAAAAAAAAAAGAAGTCACGCTATATACAGAGTTGTTATGAAGTAACTAAAATGCTGTTTGCTGTTTTTCTGTAGACCTCGTAGCAATATGTTTAATGCTTGTTCTAATACTCGCACTATTTTAGATGTATCGTCTCCATTGGTCTTAGAAATCTCAAGTTTTGAATACTTTTACACATAATATAAAACACATTTATATTATACAACCCCATTAACCGCGGTATGCTGCCAAGTACGCTGACTGCGTTTCCTCGTTCAATGGGTTATACTGAAGTTTCAGGCGAAAAAATAACCAGCTCTTTTGTCACCAGCGAAAAAGTTCAGTCACGGATACAGATCCTTTAGAAACTTTACCGTGCGTGGACTGCACTGATCGATAGTCTCTACATCAAATGGCACAATTATGTAGTCGTCTCTCAGAGACATATATTTGCGCCATATAGGTACTCAGCTATTTACTCTAAACCCGTGTGAAGCGATTGTAGATATTTTAAAAATTATATAAAAATCTTTACTTTCATCGCTATTAATTATCGTAATATCTACGTCATCTATATATCTATATCAATACATATTTTTTTACAATAATAATATATACATGTTTTATATATAGATACATTTTATACAAAGATAGATCGAACCAAAATAATATTTAAAAGCTATAAATATTCTGGATCAAATACGACATTGGAACGTCAAACGCTCAGTCACCACCCGTGACCATGGGTGATGCGAAGCACTCGAAAAGTCGGGAGTTGAAATACGTTAAATTAAACCCGATAAAATATGTGGAAGTGGTTTCATTCGATAGATATATGGCGGCTCCGTGGCGCAGTGGCTTAGCAATGAGTCACATCGCTAAGCGCCGCGGGTTCGAATCCCGCACGGGACAAGTATTTGTATGGCCTACAAATAATTGTCCCGGGTCTGGATGTTTGTCCTTGTGCAATTTATGTTTGTAAACTGCCCCCACGATAAAGGAGAAAATCCTAGTGTGGAGATTTAATTCTGCCTACAATCCTGCCAAAAGGACCTTTCGCTCAGCTATTCTGGCTTCAAGGACGCGATTTAATCAAAATATCGGTAGGTGCGATAGTTCAGGCTGTCATAGGTAATAATAATCTATAGGTTTTAAATGAAAAGTATTATTTGTACGTTGTAGAGCCATGGTGCAGCTATATTAATAATATAGTTGTAGCACGAATGGGTCGCCTCGACCGCGGTAGAACCACGCTCTCACAGAATACCAGCGTAATATGGCGAGTGTAGAGAACCGGAGACCCTTTTTACTGGAAAAGGGGCATTCCATCTTAGTCCTCAAGGGTAACAACGCATCTGTATTTTGATTCGCAAATGAGGATAGATGTAGATGTCTATGGGCCACAGCAATCACTTACCATCAGGTGAACTGTGTGCTCGTTTGTCACCCTATTCTATAAAAAAATATTCACGTCGTTTTCACTTAAATTGCGCTAATAACCCTTATAATTACTTTTGGCATTGTTTTAAGCATGTACTCATAATTTCGGTGTACGTAGTTCCAAATAGTAAATCTAATCTATTTAGGGCCGGAAAAATTACAGTAGTATGTATAAAAAAGTTAAAACGTTTCACTACTATATTCCATCCGTTGCAGCCTAATACTCCACTGCTTAATTGTGTGTAGATGAATGTGTTAGATGTCTATCTC